CACCCCCCCCCCCCCCCCCGTAGGTTTCTAGATTGGGGCTAGGATGTGGAGGACTTTCTGGACTTCTGAATGCTCCTCTCTCTCTCATGAAGATGGATGTTCCCTTATAACGCAAGCATTTCTTAGGGGTGTAACCTTCTTTGATACAACTAATGTCCATGGGAAAGATTATGATAATGTGATAATGATTGGCAAGGTATATTTTTTAATTTGCTCTTGAGATGATGGATATTTTCATGAAGCATGTAAACCTACTGCTTAATTCTTACTCACATTTCCTTGTGTAGATTCTAACTCCTCGTAACTGCACATGCATTTGATAGCATGTCATAAAGTGATGATAAAACAAACTTCAATAAATATGTCAATGTAAGCAATGAGTTCAATGGGGTCTAAAACATGATTCACAGGTTTGATGTGGGTTGAAAGATTTTGATTGCAGATGTGTTATGTATCCAATTTCTCAAGAGTTTGATTGTAGATGATGGGCTATATATGTGCTTAATGTTGTCTAAACAAACATATCATGCTGAGATAGGCATGTCATAAGATATCCCGAGCAACATTAGTCCTGACTTCAATGCAAAAATTTAATTTTGATCAAGAAAGTTGATGTTCTGTATAATTTTTAGGCTTTGAAGCAGCTTCTAACAAAATTTGGAATTACACTGTGTGAGGATTTCCAATTTGGATCCAAGGGTACCCCTGAATATGCTCGAGAATTCTGTGAAGCTAGTCTTACGCCACTTGACATGGACTATTTTGATCTTTTATTACCAGCATCGCGTGGATGCTTCAGTACCAATAGAGGATACTGTGACTATCAACAGAAAATGTCTTAGCAGCATAGCAGTATAAATTTAGCTTGGTAAATTGGTCACTCATACACTTGTATTAATTCCAGGCACTTCCACATCCGCGGTTTGTGGAGGAGGATCTGCAGAAGAACAAAATCCTATAGCCAACTTGGCTACAAAGCACAGCTGCACCCCTCCTCATCTAGCACTGGCATGGCTTCTTCATCAGGGAGACGACATAGTCCCCATCTCTGGCATATGAGCCCTCTACTGCATTCTAAAATTGCCCTCTTCTCGTGTTTATGTATGTGGATTCTTTTGTTTGGTTTATTCAGTGAAAATGATACCTTATCCATTAGTACAGTTTGACAGATATACTGTGCAAGAGAGAAAATTTGGACTACATGTTTGTCAACTTGCTGTTTAATGAACATGGTTCCGGTTGTTTTTGAGATCAATAGTAAGAAACTCTTGGCATATAGCAGAACCTGTCACTGTCAGGATCTTTCATTCCCAGAAATTGCAACACATTAGATAAACAAGTTTAGCCTTTGATCATACTTGGGTATTGACAAAAGCATAGACGAAGAAATTGGAGTGCAATTGGATTTGAATTGAACTGCCAGTCACACGAGATGTAGAAGGAATGGGAGATGATGACCATAAATGTTAGCAGATAGCTTTTGGAACTGGATTAAGGGAAGTTTTATACAGCACCTTCAAATTCTGATCATGCTTCTCTGACATTAGAACCGTGGTATAACATGAGAAACTTCGACAAAGGTTGTTTCCGCATTAAATATGTTCGTTACTTCTTCTCAAGTATATTTATTTGTGTCAGGTCAAATAAAAAAATATCATTGAACTGTGAAGCATAGAAAACTACATGCAGCTTACAAATTTTCTTGACTAAAAGCCATTGATGAAGAGACAAGCAAGGACTCAGTTGCACGCATCTAAACAACGCAGAGGCAAATTGCGATGCTAGTAGAGGCCCGTTTGCCGAGCATATGTAGACGCGCTGCGTTATGCTGGAGTACAATTATAGAGCAAAGTTTACAAAATATTCAATCTACTAAGGAAGTTTAAACTTGAACAATCTTGTATCACAAGACCTAACAACAAAAGCATGATCTCATGAATCAACGCCCGCTAGAGATGTTTAAACTAGTCACGACTCGCAAGTGCATCATTCATGTACCTGTTTTCAGTTTGAATCCGCGCTGTATAGAAGCACTTGTCAAATAACTGGAATCCATATTTTATTCATTATTCCTTTTCCCCGACTATACTTGGAAACCTGGAATATGGATAGCATAGCATCCTCCCTTATTCATTACATGGTGCATCTCAATTTTCATATATATATATATATATATATATGGGGGGAGGGAGGGTGGTGGGGGGTCCTCTACAGTGTTCCAAGCATATAAACAGGAAAGAATGAGAAGAATACATTACCACTACTTCATGTATTTTGTACTATTTACATAACCACTAAGTATGAACATTAATGGGGAGATATATAATGCTGCACCCACTACAGGTCGAGCAGTACCCTGTGTTCATTCAGATTCATGTTTTGAAATTTACTTTGATCATCCCCGTCATCATTTGGTTTCTGCAGCAAAGCAAAGCAAACTGTCAATCTAAAGAAGAAGCATGTAAAAAACTTGAATGAAGTCTTGAATTAAGAGGGAAATAAATCAAAATGAAGTCTTGAATTGTGTATTACTTCCTTCAAAGCCAACAAAGATTAGTTGCTCAAAACACTGTAATTACAAAAACTAGACAAACAAGCAAACGAGTATGTCTGCTGGTATTTGTCTCCATAAACCTCCTTAAGGGCCTGTTTGTTTCTGCATTTTGAAAGCGCTTTTGAAAAAATTTGAAAATTTTTTATTTTTTTATTAACTTCAAATTAATATGTTTTTAGTGTTTTCAAATCATTTTGATGTGCTGATGTTAAAAATGATTTTTAAAAAATAAAAAAACATCGTTGGCATGCATTTTGGCACGAAAAGCTATTTGAAAAGCAACAGCAACCACACTTCCAAACAGGCTCTAAGTTGTTTTCAATTATATTATAGGAGATTAAGAAAATTTTGCAAGCATAAGCTTCCCAAGAATTTGTTGGTTTGATAGTTTGTTTCTTCTTCTTCTTTTATCATTTTGAGTATCCGTAGAGGATTTCACTGAAGATAAATGCAGAATAAAGTAGTCAAACAGCAACCAAGCAAACTATCTAGCTAGTCTATCATTCAAGTAGGCAGGTGAAATCACCTTGCCAAGCGAAAAAAAGAATTACTTCACCACAGAGACATGGGAAGTTCCTCTCTTGTTCCTTCTTTCATGTGAAGTATCAGCAACCCCATTTATCATTCTTATATCTGAATTCTACCCAAAACAGCACTTTTCCGTCAGATGATGTTTAAAAAGTACCCTATCCTAACCTGTCTAGTTGGATTCTCACAGCCTCCCTTGCAAGAAATCCTGTCAAAATTAGAGGAAGCCACCCCCCACCATAGAATTTTACAGAAAAAACTAAAACCTCCAAATTTCAGAGGCCATGAATGGGTGCTCGTCTCCCATATTTTGGCAAGTCTTTCAAAAAATTGGGTTATTTTTAAAGAGATTAACAGAATAATTAAGGTTGTAACTAGTAACTAGAGAGGAAGCCGCCCCCTATAGATTTTTACAGAAAAAACTAAAAACTGTTTATAAAGAGATTAGAAGAAGAATTAAGGTTGTAACTAGTAACTAGTGAGTGCTTCTGGTTGATTAGTCATGAAAGCAAATCAAGAATTAGTGCAGCTTGACAAAGATTCCAACACTGAATAGAGAAAAAAGAAGAGATTGGTTTAAGAATGATAACTGATAGGGATTGAATGGAAGAGGAAAACATGGTTTCCGCTTGCTGTTTCCACAAACAGAACATTTGCCATGAAACTCAGGCTCAATAGCTCTCGAAAGATGAAACATTTGAAGAGCGGAAAGGATATGTAATAAAGATGGACTATAAGATCAACACGTTGATATCTTTGAAATTCAAAGCAAATCTAGAACTTGCCTCTATTGGCAGATCAACTGGAAACAGATTTATGGCACTGGGATCAAAGCTCAGTCCACTGAAAAGAGCACATGACAAAAACATAGTTATTAGTTGTATACCCAACTAGATCTAGCATGATTCTGAGCTAGGCAAGAGATAGAGGAACAGTACCGTTGAGATAAAGCAACACGCCAAATGTATGGTGTAAAGAACTCCTCTGGGTGACTCTCTTGTTCGTATGAGAAATGCAATTGAGTAAACATCTGTGAAATATAATAAATAAAAACACATTAAAATGTAAATAAAAAACATTTCAGACAATACATTCAAAGTTAGGCAAGGCTTCCGATTTCCAAAGTTATTTTAACCTTCATGCCTTCAACCCGCCATGATCGACAATTCATAATTATGAGTTGGAGGACTTTCTCCGCTGACCATTCACCATCATGTGTTTGGGAATCGATACGACTATTGAAAAAATCTAAAACCTACAAAGTCCAAAAGAGTCATATGCTATGAAACACAATCAGGTAGAGGAAAAGAGCGCTATCCAGATATTGAGAAAAGCTGATAGACTGACACAAAAACAACTGCCTAGAGTTCTGCTTTGATTTATACAGAAACATTGATGTTTACATACAAAAAACTACAAATGATAAATACCATGTAAATATTTTCAATCAGTTCACTGAAGCGTGGATGATTCTTGAATGGCTCAAAAACCTCTTGCCTGTGCATTATTGCATATACAACCTGCCAAAAAAAAAGAAATGAGCAGAAAAAGAGGGAAGGTGCATGATTGTTCTTGTAAAGGAAAAGGATTGCACATATCACTGGAAAAGGATTGCACATAACACTAACTATGCACATGAAATTATACCTCAGGATTGCGTGGCAAGGCATAAGTCAAAATTGCATTTAATATTTCGAGGACAATTCTCAAGAAGTCCGTGTAAATATGCAATTCTGCTGACTGCAATAAAAACAATCCAGTTTAGCTAACATGGAAAATAATTAAAAAAGTGGTAGCCTTCCATGGCATAATATCCCCACTATGAGAGTCATATCATAAACAAAGACCGTAATGACTACCAGATCTTCAGCAAGGCTGTCTTGCCCCAAAGAGCCACTCTTCCCCATTTTATCATCTATCCGTTCTGCAAGTTTGTTATACCTAAACATGCAATATCAAACAAACAAAAGATAATGCAAGAATACCAGAAAAGAAAAGTATGCTTCTAAGTTATCAAAGTAATAATGTAATGTGGTAAATGAAGAAGAAAAGAAACCAAATAAGAGTGACGTACTTGCGTGAGAGCATATAGAATAGGCTAACAAGTCTCTGTGATGCATATGCACTCAAATGATGAAAATGAGGAGCCATGTTTGCTAAAGTTGCAAGACAAGTTGTATGAAGATAGAGATCCTGTTACAAGTTTAAAATGTTACGAGAAGGCAGAGTGGAAGAAGTTTTTAATACATATATAACAGTTACAAGCAAACTAAGTAGATATGAATATACTAGAATCAATAGAAGAACATGGACTATTGTAGCAGAACCTAATAGATCTACTGTTGTGATAAAATATATGAGAACTTTGGTTTGTTTCAATATTAAAAGTCTACTGGATTTTACAACTTTCAAAACATGAGCCATGGCAGGCGGATATAACAACTTCAAGAGGGACACTGCAACAATTTGAACATGAATTAATTAGTTAAGTACTTTTAAACATACCCGCAGCTTAGATAGATTATACTTCACTGTTCTTATAAGAATTATGACCATTAGGGAACCAAGAGATGTTCGATGAAGAAGGTGTTCTTGATACCATGGAATGCTTGGCAGTACCTGTGGGAAAAGTACAAGGAAATAATAGCATAAGAAAAATAATACACATATTGGAAATAAGATTGAAAGTTAGCAAATGAAAGTGATTCTTACTATCTTGTGAATGCTTGCATTAAAAGATGAATCCTGACTAAGTATAAGAAGTATAATCAGCAAAATGTATATGTGATTGGACGTCCTCTTTGAAGCATTGTACAGCGTTTCCAGAATTGGCATTAACTGCAGATCTCATTGCGAAAAAACAGATTGTTAAGCCGCACTACAGCAATGTGACAGCAAAAGTAAATATCACATGCCAACACAAATATCAAGAAAACCTAAGAATCTTATTGATTTCAAGAGCCAGTTACATGCTAAATAACATGTCAAGCAAAACCTATTTGACTAAAATACACTCATTGCATAGCATATGCTTGTATATTCAAGAAACCGCATCAACATCCTATGACATTTATGAGGAATATGAAAATAAAGCAAAATTATCTTGAAGATTGTTTTGAACTACCACAGAAGAATATAATCACGGTTACTTAGCTCCCTTTATTTCTGCTCTCTACAATCATGTGATTGTAGATTACACTTGGTAAAATTTGCTAGAAGTACACTAGTAGCAGTCACCTTAGGCCCAAGGCTAAAAGATGCCACCTTCAAAATGGATTTAGCAGCATGGTTTATAATCATGGTCGTGGTCCTTTTTTTTTCACAGTTGCAGTTACAAGGTCATCAGGACCGCATAATGGTAGCAACCACTGGACATGAATTGTTTACAAATTTTAGAAACATGTCTTTGACTTCCATATTTTTAATAATTTTGCTAGAATGACAATGGTAGTCCCAACAAAATTTCTGACTGAAAACATAGTAGATGGTAAAAAAAAAATCAACAATTTCATCTAACGCATGCATAAATAATAGGTTATAGCAAGAGTTTGTATGATAAAAATGTAAAAAATTGACAAGTTTCCAGTGTGGTGGCCACAGCAACTGTGATGATCATAAAAACTAGAACCTTGGGTAGTAGCAACAAAGCTTACCAATTCCATTATGTAATGAATGTAATCTGCTTAGTCAGTGCCTATACTTTCATATGGTAATGCCTTAGGGTTCAAAATTTTGAAAAAAAATTTTTGTTTCTTTACAACAAGCAGGAAAAAGATTGAGCTGATATTTCATACCAATGTATCCAGATCCGTTCGCACTAAAACATACTCCAAAAAGTCAGAGTTTCCATGCACCAATGTGTAAAGCAATAGGACTGCAGTTTCATCAGCCAAGCACCTGCAGAGGGAGAACATGTTAGGAAATACTTCAAGAGATAGAGACGGGTTATGCCTGTTCCTATATAAAGACTACAGTAAAGTCCTTCAAGAAGTTATAATTTTTTTTATTAAAATATCTAGCTACAACAACCTTTGGCAACAAAAAATTCTGAATGCCTTTCTCGGATATGTCTCTAGATAGATTGGGGGATGAAACTTTCAAACATTGTTACTTGGACAATGAAAATTGGAGCAACCAAGCAAGCAGCGTTAGAGCAACAATGATATTACAAACCAAGTGTCAATGAGCTTTTTGTTTCCTTTTTTGTTTTTGTTTTTCTTTTGTCTGGGTACCCACACATGCATTTGCATGTATATATCCAATCTAATGAAAACACTAGTATAACTCAAACTAAAGAAATTATTCTCATCATGGAGGTAAAAGAGTAAGATATTTACATGCCAAGAGTATCAAACAGAGATGCAAATGGCAATCTCACATGTGACCCACTGTGCGCGTTCCCCTCGATATCTACACGATCAACTGAAAGCATGGTACTATTCAGCAAAATGGCAACAACCTACAGCATGCCAAAGCAATTTGAAAAAGAAATTGGCAAAAAGAAGATCTCACATTCTATATCCCTTGCATTTTCCAAGGCTCTGCAGTAAGGATTGTCAGAGAAGTATGTTTTTCCTTTGGAAAGAGAATCTGAAGCGGCACTGTCATCACTTCTGTCTGTCAGGGACTCATCACCCACAACACACTTATGATAATAATTAAGTATAAGCAGCACATTAAGACTGCCGTCTGCCAATGGATTTCTTGAGCCATCACCAGTTGAACTGACCAAATAATTGAATGGCAATAAAACAAGAGTGGCTGCAAATCAAATATATAATGTCAACAGAAGCATTGATGGAAAAAGAAAAAGAAAAACCAAAGAATTGTCACTGAGTTTCAAATAGTATTCTTGAAACCCTTGGCTTGAGAAAATGATATACAAAAGCTAACAAAAGCATGCAAATCAAATTGAGAAAAAAAGATGGAGAAGTATATGCTCCACTTTAAACAAAGGGAAAAATTACAATGCAATGACAATGATAGCCTCGGTGTTGGTCTGATAAATATGGCCCAATTTAAAAGCATGCAGCAAGCAATGCAAATGAGACAATTGAAAAAGATAGTAAATAGATACCAGAAAGTTCCACATATCAGACCAGTGTGGTTCAAGCCTTTTGTAGATGAGAAAACTAACTAGTTCAAGACTATTAAAATAAAATAAAATAAAATAAAAAACAACTCTAAAAGAACATCATACCAGCTGCAGAACTAACTCTTTGCAAAACTCCAGGCTGACTCCCGCCAGAAAACAGTGGGTATGATGCGCTGTTATATGGGATACGAGGTCGTGTTATATAATTAAGTAGCAATCTCCGAACAACCAAACCAACCAAAGAACTTTCCTGCAAATTATGGAAGGCATACATGATAAGTTTGAAAGATCTGAAGAATGCAGAATTTAGAGCAAGAAATTAAGTAAATTTCATCCACTAACCTGAGCCATTGCTGCATCAATAAAAGGGTTCATATCAGTTGGTCCTGGTGCTGGCCCGTAGAGAAGTTGGGTTGACATTGCAACAAGCATGAAATTCAGTAACTCGTGATGTAGAAGGTATGTCTTCGGACTTGTAACAAAAATAATACATTTTAGAAAAGCAAATTCCACGAAATCTCAATCTGGTAAACATGGTGAGAAATACATGGTGTACCTTACTTCTACGGAACCAATAAAGTTAAGCACATTATGCATGACAAGACTCTCGATGTTTTGATCTGCACATATGGAAACCCAAAATTCAGGCCTACAATGATTTACTAGTACTGGAAAGCATAGCTGTCAAACAAACAATTCAATAAAACTGAAAGCAGAGAGTCTAAAGTACATAGACTGGCATCCTTGGGAATTGGATAAATAAATTCCAACAGTCAGACACCAAGCATTATCCCCAAATTACACCTTGAAAGTCCAGAAATTTAAATCCAACTTACCTTTAACCTCCATCACTTTCCATCATTTAATGTTTGAGGATGTGTAGCCAGCCACAAAGGCAGAGTTCAGCAGTTGTTCACTCAGATGTTTAACTTAACTAAACTTTCAGAAACTTCTATGGAAATTGCATTTATTTGCATAATAAGCTTCATGCAAATCTAGTTTTCACCCGTAACTAGGAAACAATTGCGTGCATTAGGAAAGCTTAATTTCAAATGTTACAATAAAAGTGCAGCTTATCGGCATCCGCATTGCTATTAGATTATTTTCCTTTGAAGCAAAGATGGCTAGACAACATCCCATTTAAATCATGAAAGAAAACAGGCTAAACACTTATGTTGCCAGATGCTTTGAAACAAAGCTACTCCCTGCCACCGGCTCCAATTTGCACTAGTTACCAAATCATAATGACATCAAAATGCCGGCCGGCGGCTAATAAAATATTTTATGTAACAAAATAAAGTACCTGTTTTGAAACCATTCGATGCTGGTTCGCTCTCATTCAATGACAAATGAAATTCCTCGATGCTATTGCTTCGAGCATTTTCGATTAAATACTTTAAAAAAACTGATGAAATGTACACCGCATTAACAGCCTTATCATAAACTTCCGACGGGGCACCGGAATTCGAAACACACTCTTGCAAACACCACGATAAGTGAATCAGAATCTTCGTTAGATGCCTTGTATTACAATTATTTTGTGCTGCACACAGAATAAGAACAGAACAAAATATTAAAAACAAAAATACATAATCTCTATAATTATCAAAGCATTGCAGATCCAATAAACAGACAAGCAACGACACTAAGAACGTAATTAAGAGATAAATATGCAAATAAAGCAGTAGTAATTAAAGAAAAAATAGATCCTATAATGCAGAATTAGGCACGGATGAAGAAGAGAGGTTTGGTGATGAACTGACCGAAGAGCTTGCAGGCTTCTTGAACACGGTGAGTAGGCCAGTGGAGATTGAGAGGGAGTTCGAGAAGTTTCTGCCAGAAGTCAGAACCTATAGGAAACGTCTTCTCACCGACAAATGAACCGATCAAATAATCGGCCGTGTCCTGAGGGCGAGCGCCGGAGAGACGCGGCGTAGAAGGCACTGCTCCCATTGGAATTATTGAGTCGGTCGTGTTGAAGAGTGCTGAGTCAACTTTGGTTACAGAGCGAGTCCGCCGATCTCAATTGGTTAGCATCGTAGAGATGGAGAGTGAGGGAGTTATGGTGATTTCGGATCTGTCTGGCTTTTTAGAGAAAATGTAAATGGAAATGGATACTGAGAATTATATTGAGGTGTGCTCGTGAAGGGAGGGAGGAGCTTAGGAAGGAAGTTTTTGAAGAAATTTTATTAAAGGGGTGAATGGACTTTGGCAGCTATTTTTGTTTTTGGGTTTTATCTCGGAACGATTATGATGGCTCGTTCGTTTTAGTGATTTGACTGACCTGTCCTCCCAGTTTTTATTTAGTTTTCAAATGCGTATTTTGTTTTAGATGTTTTCTTCAATTTAAGTTTATAATATATTTATTTTCATTTTTCTTTTAAAAAAATATAATAACCTCACAGATCAGATTTGGTAATTAAAGAGAACAAAGGTGTTCTGTTTTAGTTGTTTTCTTTAAATTAATTTGACTTACCCGGCAAGATTATGTAGGGTTAACCCCATTGCTGCTCCAAATTAAACTAAAAAAAAGTAAATGAATTGTGGTTATAGTTTTTTTTTTAAAAAATTATTTAAAAATTATTTTTAATATTCGCCCATTAAAACAATTAAAAAAATTTAAACACTATTTTATAACAAAAATAAATATTATTTTTTTAAAAAAATAAATTAAAATAAATTTTTATCTTCAACGTATTAAAACAATCTAAAAATATAAAAAAATCAAAATTTTGACAAACAAACAGCCAGCCAGCGGGTAGAGAGGCTCTTTCCTCTCTCTGAATAAAAAAACAGAGGAGAATTTAAGGGCACCCTTTCCATAAGGAGGGAGGCTGTACCATGTGTGTGCCTTAACCTTGTTACGGGCACCAAAAGAATTAACGGAACGGATCCATGCCACGAGAGGGTGGGGCATTTAAGTCTTTGTATAAAATTGGAAGGTGAAGTATCCCTATTAATCGCAGTTTTGTTGTCATTTGCACACTGATTTTTGATTCGTCCGCAGCAGCCCCTGGAATCTGCTAAATACTATCCTACAAACAATTTTATTTTAATTAGTTCACTATTTTACCCGTAACCAGGAGAGTTAGCTTTTAGGTTATAGGAAGAACTCTTGGTTGGTTCAGTACTCACTGCCTTTCAGTTTTTGTGAAGCGAATTTCATGCCAATTGAAAATGTTTTTACACGTGTATTTCCTTTACTTTTTGGTGTTCGTCACGTTAATTGATCCCGCCAATCCCTTTTCTGTATGGCTTTTTAGTGTTTTTCATTTTCTTTCCAGTTAATTATGTGATGTTTATTAAGACGGTTTAATGTAAAAGTGTTTTTTAAGTTATTTTTTATTTAAAAATATATTAAATTAATATGTTTTTATAATCTTATGTATTAATATAAAAATAAAATATATATAATAAAATATAGTCTTAATAAATTTTTAATTAAAAACACACCATTCACTAGGGGGTATTTAGAAGAATATTAGAAGTTACTTTTCAAAATAATTTTTATTTATAAATATATTAAAAAATAATTTTTATATTAATATATTAAAAAAATTTAAAAATTCAAAAAATTGCAATACTTTAAATGAACTACAAAACCAAACACTCTTATATTATTAGACCTTGTTTATTTTTGTGATTAATAAAGATTTGTATAAAAAATTAAATATTTTTATTTTAAATTAATTTTTCATATGTATTTTTAGGTTGTTCTGGTATATTAATTTAAAAATTAAAAAAATATTTTAATATATTTAAAAATTAAAATTATTTTAAAAAGCATTAGCTGATGATCGAACCACAAGCAAGTTCTGGATACACACTTGTGATGCTGCGTTGGACGTGCCACCAGTGTATGTCCACATAAATTTCATCACCATTGACCTGGAGTTTTGTGACTCTGGGATTGACTCGACTTTCGGGAAGTGTGCTCTACATGTAGGAAAACGATTCCGTGTCTTTTAATAATACACGATGAAGTTAAGTTGAATAAAAAAAGGTCAATCTATCTGCCCGGCTTCTTGAATCTCTTTTATAACATGTATGCGTAGACATCACATGCATAGAATTTACATGAGAGAAAATGCATACACGACGTGTAATTTTTGTTGTTATTATTTTGGATTTTATCTATGGATGTGGGGTTCTTGATAGCTCGATTTGAGGTGCTTCTAAGTTATAATGATACTTCTTCTTTTTCTTTTTTCTTTTTTTTTTTTGTTGAAACCACAAATTTCTCCTGACTGAGGGACTATTTAGGAATGGTACAATTTGTGTTTTTAAAAATTCTGAATTTTATTTTTAAAATTAATATTTTTTATTTGTTTTATCATTTTAATATATTGATATTAAAAATTATTTTTTAAAAATAAAAAAAATATTATTTTAATATATTTTTAATTTAAAATTACTTTAAAAACAACCATAATCATATCTGAACATAACCTTAGCAATAAAATAGCTCAAATCAAATATTTTTATAGCAAGACAAGATTATTCTGATATGCATTATTCATGTGTGATAATTAAAAGATTCATCTGACATATGTTAAGTAAAACACTATGCATGATGGCATCATGAATCCCCTCTGACTTGCTGTTTATAATGGTTTCTTTTTTTTTTATTTGGTTTTTACAGGACTAAAATTAAAGTTAATTTAGACTAATTTGAAAGGAGATGGTGAAATTAAAAAATATCAACCCAAAGTGAAAAATAAATAAAGGATATTAATGGCTTTTTCAAACTTTGAGAAGAAATACCTATTTTGCTCTTGAACACAAAACAAAAAAACAGGGCAATTATATTTGTTTGCTTTTACAATAAAAAATTAAATAATCATTTTATTATTAGATTCAAATTTTTTAAAAGCTCTTTACGATGACTTTTACATTTTTTATTTTTTTATTTTTAAAGAACAATAAAATAATTTGCATTCCCTTAAAAGTGAGATTTTCTATAGCTTACATTTTGAGCATTTTCGTAATTGCAATCTTTTTTTCTTTTTGTTTTTTTGTCATGGCAAGGTTGGTTTATGAGTGGTTTTGTAATTTGATATATTCAGCTATTATTAAATAAAATTTGTTATATTATTAAAAAATAGTTCCATGCATGAGCACGTGACAACTCTTATATTTGAATGACATGTATAGCTAAGTTCAATGATCACGTGTCACCTTTTATAATGGTATTTAAATTATATCAATGTTATTTTGATATTGAAGTGACATATGTGGTCAATAAAAATATAATTTGATACCAGCAATATCTTTATTTGTTTTCCATCCCCCTTAATTTCCGTATATTTTCTTTTAAATTTTTAAAGTTGTCCTTCATTTTTTTATTCTTTTCATATTTAATCTAGATTTTTAATTATTATTTATTTTATTTTAAATAGTCTATAAAATTGAAATTCCTTTTAAATGTCACCCCCTTCAATTTGTTTTTTCAAATTCAAACCTTATTTTTTTAATTATTATTTGTTTTGTTAGAAATAAGTTTTAAAATTAATTTTTTTCATAGTTTAATTCCACTTATATTTTTTTCGTATCAAATTTGATCTATGTTCCTTTTATTTTTTTACCTTGCTGATTGATCTATGTTCCTTTTATTTTTTTACCTTACTGATTTTTTTTTTTTAATTTCATCATTCAACATCAAATTGATTGGAATTGAGTTCAAGTTTAGGATTTTATAAACTGCAAGTTTTAAAGATTAACATAAAATTTTATTTATTTTCTTTCTATATTATTTTTTATTACGTTTAAAAATAACTTGGGTTATTGTAGTTCTTTTTATTTTTCATTCTTTATTGGATTTATTTGGCAAGTTTTATAAATTAATTTTTTATTTTATATTTTTAACATTAGATTAGTTTTAATTATTATTTTTTTATCTTTTCATTTAACATTGAGTTGTTTTATAGTTGAGTTTCATGATATTATTCAACTCGCTTTCATTAATGATTTTTTTTATCTTTTATTGGCATAAATTGTCATTTAATTAGATAAAAATTTTACTATAAGAAACAAATTTATTAAACATAATCTAGTACATGGTTCATACTACGAGATCAAATATTTAAATATTAATTATTTCTTAGCTAAATATCAATTTAATTAATTAAATATGTGTACAAATATTTTGATATGTAATTGATAATTTTTTTATTTCAAAAAATACCTTAAAAAAACCTATATATTATTTTTTTACAAAATAAATATTCTTCCGGAGATAAATCATGAGTCAAATAATTATTTCTATACATACTCGTAGTTTGTTGCATAATCATTGTAATAAAAATGAGAATAAATCACCCCGAAGCTTGGACAATATAAAAACCTTTCTATCCAAATTATTAAATTCAGTCAACTAGTCTTTTTTGATGCTATTTTTCCATAATTTCAAAAAACACTCCATTAAACTTACTTGTAATTTTGCCTGTTCTATTTTTTTCTTGTGTTATTTTATTTTTTAATGTAAATTGAAGGTTAGATACAAATAAGTTTTGGATCATCTTAAATCAAGGTTTTCATGTAATCTAACTAAGATGGAGGGACACATTATCTTTTACATCAAATTATATCTTCTTTCAGGCTAATTAGAAGAACAAGTGCACAGGTAGTTTTATCTCATGTTTAAAGCATTCAGGGTAAAATTTATACAGTCAAAAAAGTTTAGGATTCAATAAAAATAAAGGCATTCATTTGGAGCAAATTTGAATTGTTATAATTTTTCAAAGCATTTTTATTTTTATAATCTTGGTATTTAGAAGTGTAGCAGTAATTACAGTTTAAAATAATTTTTATTTAAAAATATATTAAAATAATTTTTTTATTTTTTAAAAAATTATTCTAGATATCAACACATCAAAATAACATAAAAATTTAATAAAAATATTAAAATTTTTAAAAATATAATTTTAATTAAGTTTATTTTTTTTAAATATGTGATCAAAAAAATAATAAAAAACATCTGATATCAATATAAGTTATGCGTTTTTCCTGAAGGGAAAAATTGTTTAATTATGACATAATTTATATATTTTTAATAAATCATGTATAATTGTGTTTTATATTTTAACTTTGTAAAAAATAAAATAAATTATTTTTTATTTATTATATATATAAAAATCCATCCTGCGACATTTTTAACAAAATATATATTTTAAAATTTATTTTAAAACCATTAAAATTAAAAATATTTTTTTAAAAT